AGTTAAGTCTTAACTAATAGTTCTTTTTTTCTTTTCTTTTTTTCTTTTTTTTTTTTTTTTTTTTTTTTTTTTTTTTTTGTTTTTTCATACTAGAGGCCAATCTTCTACCCAACAATCAATTTAGAATATAGGTAACCCCGTAATGAAGGAGCCTAATCCAACTAAAAAGAGGAGGACATATCTAATGAATGAATTGTCAAGGTATAAAGAAGGAATTGAATGCAGTGTTGAAAAGTTAGAGTTGAAGTACTTGAGTGATGAAACAGAGCCATTTGATGAGGAGTTTGACATTCTTAAGTGGTGGAAAGTCCATGGTCTAAGGTTTCCCATCCTAATTTCAATGGCTAGGACTGTGTTGGTTATCCCAATCTCTACTGTGGCTTCTAAAGCTGCATTTAGCACTGGGGATCGAGTTCCTAATCCATTTATGAGCTCTTTAACCCCAAGGATGACTTAGGCACTAATTTGTTCCCAAGATTGGCTGAGGTCTAAAGCAAAACAATCTTCTAATTTGGAGAATGAGAATACTTTGAGGGACATGGAGAAAGGTATAATTGAATCTTTACGATTTCCTTATTTTTCATTCCTTGTATTATGATTCAGCACTTAAGTTAATTACATTGATTGTAACTTTTTCTTTTTCTTTTTTTCTTTTTAACTGGATAAAGATGGACAAGTAATAGTTGGATGCACCATGCATCCAATTTTAAGTAAAGGTGTTTAGTATTAATTAGCTAAAGTAATTTCTAATGATTTCTTTATCAAGTTTGTAGTCAAATATTTTATTTTTAATTTACTAACTTTTGTTTGTTTTTGCTAATTGACATGTGAAGGGGTCTTGCTAAGTAAGTAGGATTAGGAGCCATGAATTATTGATAGAATTCCTTTTCATATAGTTTACAAGATCTATTCATTGTTGCATTTTTTTGGACAACTTGCTTGAGGATGCATAAGTGATTTACCTTTTTGGGATGATGGTGGCTGGCTACATTCTATTCTATATAGTTTCTTACTTTCTAGTCTAAAAAAACTAATAGTGATCTAAGTAGTTATGCAGTGTTACTTGGCAAGTTTAGTTTGCTTAGTTGATGACTATCTTATGGTTTAGGATTTCTAAATGTTTTGAATAAATTATAAATGCTTTTAGTTTGATTACTCATTTTCTAGTTCCTATTGCTTTGTTGTTTTGCTTTTAGTGAATGTGTTCCTTATATGTTTTAACTGTGAAAACTTTATGATTTTCCAACTTCTTTTTATGTGCAACTATTTGTGAATGTTTAAGAATTTTATTTTTTTTTATTAAAAAAAATTGTTTTAAGTTGTATTAAAATTGTTTTGGCCATTTGAAATTGGAAAAATGCAAAATGAAACTCTAATTGGAAAGAGGGATTTAAAATTGAAATAAAGCTATAGATATGTTGGTTAAAACCAATTTGAACCAGTGAAATTGGGAAAAAAATATGATTAAACCGATAAAAACCACTCTTTTTTGGTTTGGTTGGTAGTTTATTAAAAAATAATTAAATAATCAGTTAATTATTAAAAATGATCAATTTGTTCACTAAACCACTTGACACCCACCCCTAAGCAATGGGCATTTAAAAATGCTAACGTATGCGCATTCCTTTGTTGTAGTTCAATGGTGGCCACTGCAACCCAAAAGGGCAACCAGTGGAATGAACTCTTGATCCCATGTTCAATTCCTCTCAGAGCAGATACTAACCTACAATCTAATCATTCCCTTTGTCAAAAAAAAAAAAAAAATGATGCATGCCAACGTCCTTCATTTTTTTTTTTTTCACTTTAATTTTTTCTTTACAGATTTTTTTAGTGCAAAATTTATTTATTTTGTTACTTAAATTTTTTATATAATTAAATTTACTATTAAAAAATAATGTCTATCAATTTTAATTCTAAAAAAATTTGAGTTTCAACTTTAAAAACACCACATTTTAATAAATATTTTTTAAAAATCAATTACTAGATTTAGTTTTCTATTAATTTATATCATGTATTTCAATTTTTAAAATAATTGAATATATATAATTAATTCATTCATTAAACAAAATTTTTCACCATTTAATATATGTTAGAAAATACAAATTTTTTAATTGAATGATTATATATATTAGATAAAATTCTTAATTAACATACAAGATTTATATAAAAAAACATTAAATCTATTTGTTAGTATTTGAAAATATTTATTGATGGATGGTGTTTTTGAAATTGGAATACTAATTTTTTTATGAGATTTGAGATTGATGTGTATTATTCTTTTATTATTATAAGTTGATTATATTAAAATGTAATTTGAAATTATTAATATAAGTTTATAAAATAATAGTTTAAATATATAAAATATAAATTAAATAAAATAATATTGACAAGATTTCATAAGATGCTCCGCATTGGTGTTTGCATTGGAGATAAAGTGTTTTATTAGATGTTATATTTTAAGATTAAATATATAAAAATATAAATTTAGAGGAAATAATATCAATTGTGATGATGTAATATTAAAATAAATTTTTTTATTGTTCTCCATTATGTATGTTCTTAGTTTTGTTGGACCAATTGAAGCGCCACCTTCTCGTGTCCTTGGTTTTGTTGGACCAATTCAATCGCCACCTTCTTCCCCAGAGAACGTTTAAATTCCTCCTTCCAAAAAGTTGTATAGACTTTATCACCCTCGAAAGTTGGAAAAGTATATTGGTAACCAAATTATTTTAGTACTACTTTCTAAATGCATTGTGATTGTGTCATGTGACAATCGTGTCAAAACTTTAATGATTTTAGTAGATAGGTTATTAAATTAAAAATTTTATAAAATATTTTTTTAATAATTTTAAAATAAATAAATTTATTAAATACTTAACTTATAATAGTTTAGATAGAATCATTAATAATTAAACTGTTAGGTCATAACTTACAATATACCTTCCATAAAAATAAAAATAAAAATAAAAATAAAACTTGCAATATAACAAAATAGGCATTTCGAAGTTATTTACTGTAAACTAAATAACAAATCATAATAAAAAAACAATGTTAAATAAAAAATACTAAAATTTCCTCTTAAAAAATCAAGATAATCTTGATTAACTTCAATCAAAGTTCTAACAACATATTTCTTCCATGATATAATAATGAAATAAAAAATTAAGGGAGTTGATTGATAACGGGCCGGCCTGTTGATCTGGATCCCCGCCTTCTTCTGCGTTACACACGGGGAAAGCCTTCTTTCTCCGCGGATCCTAAATCCAACGATTCCTCCTTTCTTCTGCTTCCCATCCTCAGAAGACCGTACAGTTTCCGGAAATCTTTCACGGAATGAACTCCGTCCTTTCCAAACAAGCCCCCGGTCTCCCCCGAGTCATCCCCACCCCGCACGGACCGGCTCTCATTCAATCCCTGCGGTAATTTCCCAGCAACACTACTCTGCAGAGCCGTGATTACCGATTTCATGGCCCTGGTCGGAGAATTTCTGTTGGAAATCATGATTTCTCCGATCTCAGCCGGACTCAGACTCCCTCCGCTCTGGAAAATCTCCTCGACTTGAGGAAAAAGTTTGTGTTCTTTAATTCCTAAATAACTGCTCGCCAGACCTTTGAAGATGGAGTAGTCGCAGAGAGGGAATTGAATGTGGACGTCAATCCTCCCCGGCCGTAGAACCGCTTGATCGATCTGATCTTTTCCCTTCGTCGTGAACACCATCACCCGTTCCTCACCGCAACAGGACACAATTCCGTCCATGAAATTCAGTATCCCTGACGAGCTCACTGTTCTTGATTTCTCCATCAGGAAATGATCGAGATCTTCGATCACGATCATGGACCTCTCCGTGGTTTGCAGCAGTAGCATCTTTAAATCAGAATCGTCTCTAATTTTGGATAAATCGATATCGTACACATCGAAACAGAGGAATTTCGCCATTGCAGCAACGAAGCTGGATTTTCCAGTACCGGAGGCGCCGTATAAGAGATAGCTCCGTTTCCAAACGCGGCCTAATCGATGATAATACTGTTTGGATTTAAGGAACATTTCAAGATCGGATTTCACCTTGTTCTTCAAATCCGCATCCATAACCAGCGCATCAATGGAGGCAGGGTGATTGAAAGGAACAGATCTCCACCGTCCACTCTCATTCTCCGATGACGGATGGTAGAGATTCATGTGCAATTTGATTTCCTTCTTTCTCTGATCGACGTCATCTGCAACGCAGAGTATGCGCTGAAGGTACGGACGGAGGATTCTCTTCTTATCGTTCTTCCTGAATCTCAAAACGAAAATCCTCTTACCGTCGCCGCCTTCCGATTTCTCATTCGTCCAGGTGACTCTGGCGCCCAGAAAGGTGTCGTGGATGGTCTGGTTGGCATCCAGGCGGATAACGATGTCATTGGACTTGGAACCGGTGAAGAGGTTGGGGAAATCGGAGTCTTCCAGAGAGGGCAAAGAATTCAGATACGTAGAAACCTTCAAGTAGAGTTCATTTTCCTGGAAATGGTCGTTGAACTGAGGAACCCTGTAGGATTGGTAAACATAAAACCTATCTTCAAAGGATCGAAACCCCTTTACAAGAATGTGAATCAAAGATGTTTTTGATAAAAATCGAAGTATCAAAAGTAATAAGAAAATGGAAAACAGGATGAGGATCATGGTTTTGGTTAGGAGTGAACAGGAGAGATGAAGATGGAGAGGTTATTATAAAATGGATTCATTCAGGGAAGTAGGCGTCGGCCGACCGGAGGGATAACAAGTCAAAAGGGATAACAGGTCAAAGGAAAGGGAACGGAAGATTTTGGGCTGTGAAAGTATGACTGACGAAGAGTTTATTATGGAGAAAATTAAAATGCATGGTGGGATGGCTAGGTTTTTCCACACAAGGGGTTTTGACCGGAAAGTGGGTTTTGGTCTTGGGATGGGAATTTCTAATTGCTCATTACTGATTAGGATAGGATTGATTTCATACTTAATTCACGCAAATTCTGGGTTAGGAATAGGATCTCTTGTTTACAGCTATAATGTGCAGGAATTCCGGGTACGGCTTGTGTTTAATAATTTTGTAGGGTTTTGAGGGAGGTTTGATATGATACCAGAGGAATCTAATAAAAATTAGGAATCTGGCCAAAAAATTAAAATTTAGGAAATTAGTAGGTATGATATGATATCAGAGGAGTAGTCTAATAAAAATTAGGTTTTTTTTTTTTTATTAATTTTTTGATATCTGATAACCACATTAAATTTTGATTAATTCAAAATCGAATCGTGTTAAATCCTATTAGAAAAGAAACTCTTTCAACATTTATTTCTCCGCTCACAAAACTCAAACTCGAAATTTTATTTAAGAAAAATTGAGTTCCTTTTAATTTAAACCGATAGGTTATTGGTGTTAGGATTCTTTTATTCCAGACTTTACAACACATGGGGAGGGCCTTCAATATCATTCAATGGCCCCATTTTGCACTCGGATGTAAGGGATTCTAAAAACTATATGATTGTTTTGTTTCAAACTATACAATATTAATTATTAGATAGGAAGAATCCTCTATATCATTTAATTGTTTTTATTTTACAGTTTGATATGATAAATTCTAAAAATTATATATATGGTAAAAATTATATGGCAATCTTGAGCTCTAAGGAGTATCAAATGGTTAAAAACTTAATATTTAAAATTGTAAATTTTAGTTTTGAATCTTGAAATAGAGGAGGTAATTTTAAGAGGGGAGGTTTATAATTTGTTGTATAGTTCATTTTCTAAAAATACCGAAAAATTAAAATAATTTTTTTTCAAAAAAATAAAAATAAAAGAAATCAAATGATAATTATGCTTTTGTTTCTTGGATGCATTTGTGGCACTGACAAATCAATCAATAAATCATATTACGAAGGTTTCCAATATGTACTCGAGCTTTAAATTTCAGGGTTTCAAAAGTCAAGATTACATTTAAATAAGGATAAATATTTTAAAAATATTTTAATTAAAAATATGACTTTTTTTTTCTTACTAATCAAAACTACTATTTTTTAAAAACAATTTAATTAAAAATATGAATTTTAATAATTTTACTAAAAATTGACTAAGTAGATGTGCACATTGACATGTCTACTAGATTCTATTTGCAAGCCCCATTTT